GGAGCATAATGCAAACTGAAACTACATAATAATTCACAATCTTTAATTAGGGGTCTAACATGGCATAAAATAATATCATAATCCCACACCGTCCAGCCACCAGCTGCTCCACCACCAGCATCATCCTCATCCTCGCCTGCCGCAGCAGCTTCATCATCTGGTCCAGTTTCAGCTTCAGCTACACCGTCACCTGGTCCAGTTTCAGCTTCAGCTACGCCATCACCTGGTCCAGCTTCAGCTACGCCGTCACCTGGTCCAGCTTCAGCTTCAGCTACGCTGTCGCCTGCGGCCTGGTCCGGCCTCTGCCTTGGCTTCTGCCTCGCCTGGTCCGGCCTCTGCCTCGGCTTCAGGTCCCCAACTGCCGCCTCAACATCACCGGCCATCTTCTAGGCCGCTGGCTGGTCATCATCTCCATCGTGGACGCCCTCCTGAACGGTGTCGCCACCGCCGCTGCCTTTTGCGCGGTCAGCCTCCGGACCTGTTTCGAATGAACAGAGAGAATTATTGATTATGTCTGACTGTCATCTGACAGAAGTGGATTCTGCTGGTACAGGTTTAATCACTGGAAATATGTCTTCATAATAGGATTTTCTCCTTTTAGCTGTTAAAAACTGGTTCTTCAGAAACAATAAATCTTAGCAAAACATTACTCTCTGAAATTGACAGGGATTGTCTCACTCAAAAGTGTGTTAGTAAAGGAGCAGTTATATTTTTTGGTACCTTAATTATGGATTCTTTAACAACAGGTTCTGACAGTGAAAACTGATTGTGTTTAAACACATCTCAGCATTTAAGATTAGTTATTATTAATCTCTTTTCCACAGTAAAGCACTATACAAATACAGGCCATTTACCATTTCAGTATGTCTTTTGTCCTGTCTCCCTTCCCTCACCCAGTCACAGCAGATGCCTGGTTCTGCCAGAGGTTCTTCCTGTACAGAAAAATATTTTTTTCTCCCACTATCCCCAAGAGCTTGCTCACAAGGGGCTGTCTGATTGTAGAGGTTTTCTCTGTATATTTGTATTACTGAATTGAATTGCACTGAATTGTACTAGATGGATTACAAAAAGCTCAAACATGACATGCTGACATTACATTTGAAAAATTCTTTAAGAAATTGGCCTCCAATTTATATACCAGTTATTTCCTGCCACCTATTAAATCTGTGCAAATAGAGCATGAGTTGCTTTTAACTGTTAGATATTAGTCATTATTCATGAGAACTTTGCAATTTGGGTGTACACAAACTGATGTTGATAGAATACTTTAGACTGGGTCAGTCAACTTCACAATACAAAAGAATTAAATGCACATAATATATTTAAAGAATTCTTAAGTGAAAACACTAAGCTGTCTGAGGAGCATAGAACAATTAAACAGCGAAAAACAAACAATGACAGCTTTGTTAACTAAAATGTTTCCGCAGAACTAATTGCTTTGTCATTTGACATTTCTTTAAAAATGTTGTTTTCAAGAAATGTTTAGTTACAGCAGACCTTTATTGTTTGCGGTTTATTATAAACTGTTTGGTGCACGCATCAATGAAAGTCTTTTCAGTGTAAACCCACAGGTGTGGTTACACAACACCCTTCGTGCCTGTCATTGCATATTTTATTACTGAGCAACAGAAGGGTAGGGTTGGGTCAAATTTTCAGAGCACCTCTGACTCAAAAGAAATGACTATTTAGATGCTAGGTTATTGTGTCCAACAAAAACATCCAGAATATGTCCCCCGTGTTCTTCCTTTTGATTAAAAGTGCAATTGTTATGTCACCTTCTGCATTTTTAAAAATACAAACTCCTCTTTTCTAAACATAGCTCTGATCATGATCATACCCCTCTTACCCTTATTTTTGTATATCATTTTGCAAATAGAAAGGAGACTGGAGTGGAGGTGGTTGTTGGGGAAACAAAATCAAACAATGAACTTTTCTTGACCTCCATAGAACTTGCTTTCTCGTTAAGCAACATTGCATGAGAAAAGGAGTTGATCATAACAAACCATGTTTAATACTTGTGGTTATTCCAAGGTAATTACCACAAGTGTATTTGAAAGCATTTCAGTGGAAATGCAGAGGTGTTACAGGCATTCTACAATGCAATCCAACTTTCTGTCATATCTTTCCAAAACTGATGACAACAGCCTTGTTTCTCTCTGAGAAGTTGTACACGCACATGACATTTAGAGTAGGGTTGGGTAACTTGCTAAAAGTTCATTGTCTATTATTTAGGGGAGTTAGCTGTTTAGTCACAAGCTCATTGTGACTAACAAAGCATTCAGAACACCTCAGGTACATTCTTCCCTTTAACAAAACAGTGACAGGTGTGACAGCCACTTTTTTGATAACTTAAGCAGGGATCTAAAGAAGTTACACTTTTTGTTATTCAATTCAATTTTTTTTATACACCCCTTAATACAGTTCTTTAAATTTGTAAAATATGAATTTCATTTTTTGAACCAAAGTAAGTTATACATTTATTTCTCATGAGATAGGCAGTATCTCATGAGAAATTTCAAATATAATCATGTTCTTTAGGTCCCTCCAAAGACTGAAATATTGGTGTGGGGTGTGCTTGTATAGGTTTGGGAGGAACTGACAATTGTTTTCTGGTGGAAGTGCTGCCTGAAGACTTTGCTGCAGAAAAGAATGGTAGAGCCCAAGTGCGAGTTTATAAGATTACAACACTCTTATAACCTTTCTATAGGTTAATTCCAGAAGCTGGGTAAGCTGTACTGTATAGATAGGTCAGATGCGCATGGCCCTCGTGACCTGAGCCTGTCCCTCAAAGCAGAAGATGTGGTGGACCCTGGGGGACAATTCCTTACTCTCCAACTCATAGAGTAAGGAATTGAAAGAGGAGGTGAGCAAACTGACAAAAAGAGCCAATCTGTCTGAATCACAGCAAGAGGATTTTGGGAGGCGTGGCATGGTTCAGCATTGTATTTAAATTGGCAACGAAGCTCCAGTTAGGGAAAGGCATCTTTCCTTGCTGCCTTTAATCTAGAAAAGAAATGAAACTTTCTTTGTGGGTATGAGTGAAATGTAAGTCATCTGAGAAAGTTGTAGTCCATGGGCAACCATCACCTTGGTGAGGCTGAAGGATGGCAGTTGGAGGTTTTGTAGTGTAGATTACAGGAAACCGAATAGTTTGATGCACACTGATGTTTTTCCCTTACCCAAAACAGAAGAGACACTGATCAGCTTTACCCGAGCACAATGGTTTCATCTCTGGTCTGAGTCAGTTAAATGTGCTACAACCTTTGCCATTTTTACTGGGCTTTTTTCAAATTACAGCAGATTATTTTTAATTTTGTTATGTACGAAACCTTTTAAGATATTATCCTTAACACATTACACATGGTGTCACATAAAAGCTTATATGTTTGTTTCAGTCTTATTGGACTAAAGGTAAGAGTTGGATGAGGCTCTTGTTTATATGCTGGTGAATAACAAACCAGACTTTTTCCATTGTGGATGATCAGGGCTTCAAAGAGACTGTGGGAAAGTTAGACCCCACTCTGCCATTTAGACAGGTTTCTGAAGAACATGGTACAAGAAATGTATGAGGAGGAGAAGACCAAGACTCCACTGCAGAGTGTGTAAAGAGTGAGCTTGACTTGTGATATCTGGACCTCTATAAATATCATACATATGTTGCAGTTACTTGTCATTATATGCTTGACAATACAAAGCTGGCCTTGGTACTTTTAGGAATGCTGCAATTAGCTCAAGAACACACTGATGAAACCATCGCAGCTGCTAACAGGCGTCTGATAGTGGAGCGGGGCATCAAGGGAAAGATTATATGCCTTGTGACTGATGCTGGGGCAGTCAAGATTTAACACCACTGGTTTCTACAGTCAAGACTGCAGATTATTAATATACAGGAGAAAATGAGTTAAAAAAAACTTATTCAAATTGAAACCTTTCCAAGCAGATTGTTGTTATGTTACTCAGTCCTTTACCTTTGGAAAAGTCTTGATGAGCAAGCTACAATGTATTGAACACACAGGAATTCCACAGCAGATGCCACTGTTGAGTGATTGATGACAGATCCTCTAAGCACTCAACGCACTTGCCTCAACAAGGCAATAACTTGCCTCATTCACCCTTTCTGTCTAACATTTACACTCAGAGAATAACTCAGGGTGAGTATCTTGCCTAAGGATAGGCTATATGAGACTGGAGTAGCCAGGCCTTAAATTACCAACCTTCCAATTAGCAGATGATCTTCTTGACCACCTGAGCAACAGCCACCTCAGTGTAATGTGCAAGAAGTAAAGTAAGAAGTAAAGTAAGTAAAGTAAAATTTTATTTCTATAGCACCTTTTAAGATAAAAATCAAAAAGTGCTTCACAAAAGCTAAAACAGAAAAACATAAACCAACCACAAGCTAGTTTAAAAAGATGAGTCTGGGTGCCACAGTTACAAACGCTCTATCGCCTTTCATTTTCAGCCTCGTATGTTGGACGACCAGCAAGCCCTGATCACATGACCTAAGGGACCTGCTGGGGATGTACTGATGTAAAAGACCTCTGATATAGGTTGGTGCTTGTCCATGCAGAGCCCTGAATGTCAAAGTCAAAATCTGGAAGTGGATTCTGAATTTTATGGGGAGCCAGTGCAACTGAATAAGCAGGAGTGTAAGGTGGGAGTATTTAAGAGACTTGGTCAGAAGCTTTGCGGCAGCATTCTGAACAACTTGCAAATGATCCACAGAGGCTTTACTTACACAAGTGACTAAAGAATTACAACAATCCAAACGAGATGAGACAAATGCATGGATGACCATTTCTAAGTCTGAGCGTGAAACAATGGGATTCAGCTTAGCAATATTTTTATAGAAGGGCCAAACAGAAAGACTAAGAAGCAGGCAGACTTTTGCTAACTAAACTTTTTCCACAGAACTAATTCTCATCTGACAACATTTCTTTAAAAAAAAAATTGTTTTCAAGAAATTGAAAGTTACAGCAGACCTTTATTGTTTGCGGTTTATTATAAACTACTTGCATTAGTTCAATAACCCAGCAAAGACTGACGACCAGCCATTACCTTAAATAATGGTGGTCACAACTGAATCAGGATCAGGTGAGTTAATTACCTCCAGGTGTGTGGAGCCGATAGCAGGAACCAGGGGAGAGTCCCACCCCTGATTACAGGCAAATCAAAAACACAGAGAGTAGACAGGAGAGACAAAAAACTAAAGAGGAAAAAAAGAGAAAAAATAGAGGTAACATACTGAGACTGAGAACTGAGGGATGATGACATATATAGATTAGATTAAAGGTGCTTTCCTGATTTAGTTGGAACCATAATTTGTCTTAAATGTCTTCACTTCACAATTGAGAAAGAGAGAAAAGCTTCTGTTTATCAGATTGTTTATTTATAGCTCTACAATTGACACACCTCCAGTATTTGAATAACAGGTTCATATAACACAGGCAGAGAGCAGCACAGCCTGCAGACACCACACAGCTGTTTTGGATCTTGGATCTTTTGGACATACTTTTTACTTTTTGGTCAAAAAGTAAGTACTGCCAGTGTATTCTGTTCAGTGCTGAGGTAGCTCTGTATTACTGAAAGATCAAGGAATTTAGGGATAGTAGTAAAATGTTAGAAACTTGTAATTGTGTGTAATCTGCAATTGAAAAATTTTATCCTTTTTTTTTAAACAAAGACTACATTTTTTATCCTGGAAAATGAAAAAATATGAAGACATTCCTAACACCTCAGGTACATTCTTCTTCTTTGGGAAATACTTTTCTGAATGAAATATTCAAGACAGTGAAAAAATTAAGAAGTGAATAATAATACATGACACAATGATACAAGTTGTATGTAGCAGAAATGTGATGAATTTGAGATTAGCACACTTGACTATATGTGGGCAGTTAAGCATAAGTGATTATCCAAGAATAACACATGACGTGTATTTATTGGTAACAGAGCATAGATCGTCACCCAAACATCGAGAAGTCTTCAGACTAAGAGTTGACAGACTCTGAACGTGCACCATGGCTTCTAAAGGAAAGGCTAAAAAAAAATATTTTGAAAACTTGGGAAAAAAGGACAACAGGTAAATGTGGAAATTGTTAAACTGCAATCAAATAACTGCTTAATCGCAATCAAGCATTAAATTGGTTTTATGATATTATTATTACATAACTACATAAAAGCAAACAGTTTCTAGATCCATTAATGAGGTTCAACTCTTATATTGTAGTTGTGCAACTCCTGAGTCCAAAAAGCAAACAAAGAGAAAAGGTAAGATAATCGTCTGTTTTCAAATTGTTTGATGCCAAGGCCAGAGATGGCCGATTACTTTTTTCAAGTAACGAGTAAAGTAAGGGATTACTATTGCAAAAACGGTAATTAGATTTCTGTTACTTTCCCGTAGGAACGCTGCGTTACTAAAACCGTGATTTTTTGCGAGAATATCTCATGACAGTGACGTAAGCGAGTGCGACGTTCGTGCCAACAGCTGTGTGCAGATCAACAATGGATCATATATCAAGTGCAGGAGAGAGTATGAGCGTGCAGCGTTTAAAGCGTGGAAGTACTGACCTTACTTTGAGTTTGATTCCATAAAAAGTGACAAAAACATTAGTGTCCGTTGTGCGTGGGAAGAAAACTTCTTTTTACAGCGAAAAAAACCCCTAAACCTCCGAGCAAGCACCGAGTAGCTACGACGTAATGGGAAACTCACAGAGAAACTCGTGGATTCTTCCACTGACCGCTGCACACCTGCACCAGGGTAACCCTCCGCCTACCCCACTCCTGCTTTACAGGTGAAAATAGAGCAACAGGACCGGTAGTCTTTGACTTTATTTATTTTCTGCTGTGTTTTACTTGCATCTATTTGAAAGACTGAGTGTAAACACAGAAAAAAAATTTTTTGATTACATTTTGTATGATGATTATGCAGAAAAAGTAGAATTGGGCTGAAAGATCTATCACTTTATCACCTATTCAGGTTGTAAATCATGTTTTTAAAAAGTAACTAAGTAACTAAGTAATTAATTACTGTAGAAAATAAGTAATCAGTAAAGTAACGGGATTACTATTGGGGGGAAGTAATCAGTAATTAGTTACTGATTACTTTTTTCAAGTAACTTGACCAACACTGGCCAAGGCACATCAAAGATATGACCTGGTACAGATAATGTCACTGTTGATGTGTTTTTGATGTTAATAAACATGAAATCATAAACTGGATTAGAAGGTTAGGCATACTAATGGGTGTGTCTATGTCCCATTAACAATGGCTGGAGCTTGTCAAGCTGAGAAACCAGTATCTTGTGGCTTGCTGTTTGAATATGCACATTGTGGATAAATTTCTAATTTTTGACAGGAGAAGGATGGCAGATTAGCTGCCGCTGGCTGTTTGTGAGTGTGTGTGTGTCTGCCTGTCTGTCAGTCTGTAAGTCGTGATAATTGATTACCTTATAGAGAATCAAGAGAGAATACAAAATTCTTTAACTAAGGGTATTTGTGTGTGTGTGTGTGTGTGTGTGTGTGTGTGTGTGTGTGTGTGTGTGGACACTGAAGTTGGAAAGAAGCAGACAAAATATCAGAGCGAGAAAACTGAGAAACCTTCAGAAGAAACGACAAACAACCAAAAACAACCAGAACAGCAGGTTGATTCCTGCACCCAGGATCAAGACTCAAACACAGAGAACAAACTGCCAGAAGACAAACAACCAGAACAAAAGAACAACAGGTAACAGTGAAAAAGGAGAATTGTGGATTCAGGAGTGAACTTTGTATCAAAGGAATATTAAAGACAAACTTTATTTAATGCTGTACATTCATACATGTACAATTCTTTGTCAGCTTAACCTTTCTGTTGCAGTTTTTCAGAGCAATTCATTGATCATTTTTATTACATCAATGATAACCTGAATACACACACGCAGGTTTTGGATCAGTTAATAAGGCTCAAATCTTACATTGTAGATCTGCTGAAAACCCTGAGTCACAAAATCAAACAGACACTAAAGGTAAGCTACAACCTTCTACAACAGTTTATAACTATATTATTAGATTATTTGCTAGGACTGTGTGTGTGTGTGTGTGTGTGTTTGAATAATCGCTTAATTCAAAGAGGATCACAAAAAATTTAATGGAAAAATAACGAAATTTCATTATTTGGATATTTTAAATTAGCAAGTTAACATTTATTTATATCAAAGGGTGAATAGATTTATGAAAGGTTTCTTCCTGTTAAAAGGGAGTTTTTCATTCCCACTGTTGCCAAAGAGTTTGGTAATACGGGGTCATATGATTTGGGGGGTTTTCTCTCTTTTCCTTGTATTATTGTTGGGTCTTTACCTTACAAGATCAAACATCTGGAGGCAACATATGTGATTTGGTGCTATATAACTAAAATTGAACTGAATTGAGTTAAATTGAACGTATACCAAAGGCTATAAGAATCGACAATCGCGTAGGAATACTAAACGTCATAAATATATTATTCGATTATTAGATAGGAGTGTGTGTGTGTGTTCATGCTGTTACGGATTCAAATATTGAGGATGGATACAAGAGGAAAACCCAAATAACCACACTGGTCCGGCCGGGTTGAGTCAAACGATGATTTAATGAACACACGTGTGGGAGATGGACACCATACAGCATACAGCATCAGATCTCAAAATGGTGGAGCCTTGATCAAACTCTTATAGCCTCTAGTGGCCCCCACCTAATCATAAAAGCCTAAACATTCACATCTTTCTCACACAGCGCCTAAGCTACGACCTTGGCTCCCTGTTTATCTGCTCCTGCTGAGATGGGGCAGTATGCTCTGTTCTCTTCTAATCAGACAAATAAGGCGATGACTTTCTGCGAACAATA